AAGGGTTAAAATATTATAGTGTCGGTCTTTTGATATTTTATACAGCAAACCTTTATTAATTCAATAGTATTCGATGATGTTACTTTGTATTATTTTAAATAAAAAAATAAAAATGTAATTATTTAGTTTTGCCACAACCGTATTTTACAACTAAGTTGCAGTTATTTAGTTTTTGTATGTCACTTATTTAGTTTTGCCTCAACCAAGGTATTACAAAAACTAATATTTCCATTGAATAAGTACACTTGTTTAATTTTGCCACACTTTTATTGACCTAAGTGTTGATTTATTCATTTTATTTTATTTGTTTTGTCAATGCAATTTTAGTCAAAATCTGTAAAATTGTTAAATAATACTAGAATATACCTACTTATTTAATACTTACAAAATTTTTAACAAATTGGTATGGTAATCATCAACATCAGATTCCTATAACATTGAAATACAATTGAAAGAACCAACATCGAATTCATATCAAAATTAAAATAATCCAAAAACAATAAAACTGTAATAGGGATCTCTCCCTAGGGATCTATAGGGATCCCTTACCCTCAACGTCATAGCAGAACGACGTTCAATGTCTCTGCACATCTCCGTTGACGCTAAGGCACATCGGCAGCTCAATAGACAGATATGGAAGTCCTTGCAACATGATGTTCGCAACTTTAATACAAATAGTATTAAAGAGGCGATAGAGTGGAACCAAGGCTCGAAAGTGTTCGCAAGAGACTACTCTATTGGGCGAAGCTAGCTTACGAAGCTGAAGACTGCGGAAGGACTACCTTCACACCGTTACACTAGTAACGTCCACAAAAGCCGAGGTTCTGGGTGAGATTGAAAAGTTTTATGGACAGCTATATACCTCGACGAAGATATTGTGGATATCAGCATTATCAGCCTATACGAGATTAGGATGGCTCTCAAACACCTAAAGAACAACAAGGTACCGGGTGATGACGGAATAACCTCGGAGCTTCTGAACGGGCTGAAATGATGATAATGATGAAGGTAACTATCCAGATTCAACATCTGAGTAATGAACATTGAAATTAAAAGTAACATTTAAAGTAATGTTACAAAAATGAAATAAATCAAAAACACAATTGTACGAGTATTTTGAAGCAATGTTTCGGATTGAGTTGTGGCAGAATTAAATAAAGTCACTTGTTGACTTTCTTAGTACAAGTATTTTGAAGCAACGTTCGCAGTGAGTTGTGGCAGAATTAAATAAAGTCACTTATTCAGTTTTGCCACGTAAATTCTACAACAAACAGAGATGTAATTTTTGGTCAATAGTTTCACTAAACTGAAGATATCTTTGGAAATATCATAGATATTGCCACGAGAGTAAGATCAAAATATAGGTAACACTTTCTACTATACAAAAAGTGGAAAAAGTGGTTTTTGCCAAAAGTGTCAGTTATTTAATTCTGCCACGACGGTGACGATATCTGCGTATCTTAATTATGTGCCTATTTACGTGGTTCATTTTTTCCTTCCCAACTGGACACCTAGTTTACCACCTTTTATTGCATTTTTATGTCCTAGGGAATAGTGGTTAGATTTGTTTGCGGTTCAGACACAATCCGGGCGGGCATCATGAAAGGCGATTGTTTGGGCGCGGTTGCCATGGCGACGGTATCGCGCATCTCGTGGAAATTCCGCCGATTCGGTCACTCGGTCGTTGATCCTATTATTTATAGTTTGGCTTTGTTTTATAAACTTAATCCTGAAAATTTACGACTTGGATTACGGGCGTATTTGCATTTTAATGTTAAGATTTACTTTCAAAAGATAATGATTTTAAAACGTGGGTAGTAGGTATATTACCTCCACAGAGCACCTGCCTGTGTTTGCCGTACAACATTATACTTACCTACATATATTGTGTTCTGTCCCTTGTAAAAGCTTGCGTTTCCACGATATGAAAATTGTAATTTGTAGTAGGTATCCTATCTAGCTTAATAATAGATTAAAAATAATTTAAAAATATTGGAATGCAAAATATTGGTAATTAATTAAACGATCGACAAATGGACCCATAGTTTTTTACCTCACACCACCATATTTTTTTAAATTGTAAATAAATAACTACCGATATTTGATGTCATACATTTCTTAGATTCATCATCATCATCATCAACAGCCCTTTACAGTCCACTACTGGACTATGAGCCTCCTCCACTATAGTGGAAGGTTTTGCCATAAGTAATCCCCACGCTTGGCAGGCGGGATTCTTAGATTATTTTTAATAAATAAATACCTAAATCGCTTACTAATAATACGTAGATAAGTAAATACATAATAAATAATGGTGAATCTTTTTTGAAAATTAACATACTCAAGCATTGTAAAATTTTATTCATACTCGTATGTTGGCCCGGCAATAAAATACTTAGACCTAATGAAAATCGAAATGAATTATTTACCAACATGAAAATATGTAAATTCCTGAAATAGTTTTTCACAGATGGCGTATCTTTGTAGTCACTACCTACAATATGGGTTTCGCAGGTTCTTTGCTGAATGCTAGAAGTGTGGTAGTAAGTTTTATCTACTCGCCGCTAGATGGCGCTATGAGGTGGTTTGACGACTTTTAAATTAAAAATTGTTATCTAGGTATTCATATATTTTGATTGCTTTAATAATTTTCTTGAATTGGCTGCTACACTGAACTTCAAGAGGATTTGTAAAATTTGTAAAATTGCTAAATTCCTCTTTTTTTTAAGTAGTTTTAGAGGTTTCACTTATCGATTAATAGGTACCTTATTACCCGACTACGCCAGAAGGAGGGTTATTTATTAATTTTGTTGATGCAAAGAAATTAGTCGCACATTAGTAAAATGTTTTCTCTCCTATAGTACCTACCTATGAAATTGTTTCAATTGTTATGTAGCTAAGTACCTTCCTACTCAGCTGTATGACATTTGAAGCTCTCCTGAATATTAAGTATTTCTATGTTTTCTGAAAGAGAGTAGGAAGGTCCGTGAAAAATAATAAAGATAAATGCTCAATTGATTCTTTATTCAGGTTCTTAATTTAATCGAATAATATTACTTAAAATAGTGCATAGACTATTTAGTTCTACACCAATATGAATTATTACAATTCAGCTTAACAATTTTTGCATTTACAAGTTAACAATATTAGTAAAGATTTTAATATTTTGTCAAAGGTTAAAGATTAAATCACTATAAATCTTGAAAAATATATTAATTTTACATTGAGGTATGAAATAATACTATTCTACTACAAGTAACTAGTAGACTAGTTTTTAAGATTTTTGTTTAACAGTTGAAGTGTTTAAATTATCTTTCATACAAATAATTATTTTATATTTTTACACAATCACAACATTGAAATTATTATGATGAATGAACACGAAATGACAACAAAGCGGTTTATATAATAAGTAAATGTTATTAAAAATAATTGTTTTACATACATGAACTTTAAACAGCCATTAAAATAATGTCACTATTAAGGGTACGATCATACTGGCAAACAAACATTAATTTAAAATGTGTTAATAATTAGAAGCATAGATTGAGACTTTTTGAAACGTTCTATTGGCTGAGATACACTTTGTTTGTGTGGCAGAATATAGGAATACAAATGAACATTATAGCCAGTATGAATGCACCCTAAGGAATATTCCTCGAAAGGGCTTAACCTAAATGAATTCGTCGTATAAATGCGAGGACTAAATCTTGGCAGTTTAGTAGAATCTACGATTCACCTAACATACACACTGGAACGTGGCTTACATAACTCTTATTCGAACGACAAATGCCAATCATAATGTACGACACATAATTTGATACAATAATAACTAAAATACATTTGGGTAAGAAAAAGTAAATTTTAGTAAACTGTGTAATACTACCGCTATATTAATTGAAATAAAAAATAATCTTTCAAACATTTTAGACTGCATTAGTATTTATTTCTTAACATATAAAATACTATGTAGAAATATACTTACTGACTAGTTTTTATAAATACAATCAATGTTTACTTTATCTCGACTTTTCATAAATTATCTCATTTGAATATAAATACGCACGAACAAAATGACACACATAAAATGTAACAGATTTCTTGCGTTCACGAGCTGCTCAGAACCCAAGTATACGCAAGAGAATCACGAAATGTTGACACAATGACACAACTCTGCGCAACACGACTATGGAACAACTGAAGATATTGACACTAAAGTTACAAAACATCACATAGAAACATACTGAAAGATTCTTGCTCACATACAAAGAAAACTAACCTAAACAGTTTGAACGCACACAGAAGGAATCTATAGTTGGTAACTAAGGCAGTCACTGGGCGAATAGAAACGATATTCCGTCACGTTCTGGCTACTCTAGAAGGAGAGAGAAGAAGAACATAGGATAGGGTGCAATCCACACTGGAAAGTACAACCTAGTTCAGATCTGTTGGACTATATTCAGTGTGGACCATGTCGTAGTACCTTCTAGGGAACTAATGATTCCCTAGAGGACTACAGAAGAAGGGAAAAGACCAGAAATATCAATCAAGACTCATGCTTTATTTATTAGAGACATTTTCGAATTCTGATCGGTGGTTTAACTGTTCTTAAAAATATACTGCCTCGGTACATAAACCGTAATCTTAAAGATCATGAGCCTAATACAAAATGAGAGAAGACAAAGATCCAGATGAAGTCAAGCCGCTTGAATGTTGATGAGAGGCATCAAACATGTTAGCTGAGGTCGTCAACTCGTCTGGAAGTCATAGGCTGATTTCACGCTGATCGTCGGCGCTGGCAGATCAATATGGTCCTAAAGTAAACGTTCTTGAGTGACGCTTACATAAATTTTACAAGTAATAGTAATAGTAGTAAAGCCTGGTCCGTGAGCACGTAGAATCCCGTCCAATGACCCCAAGTTACCCATCCCTATCGCTCGCGCGTAATTATGTTGCTGTGTGCGACGGGCGCCCGCAGTGAGTGTGCGAGCGGACCAGGCTTTAGTAGTAAGCATACATTTTGGCCATCAACGCCGACGGTCAGCGTATGCTTTCTAAAAGCAACCTTAAGGTCGGTAGCCTCTGAAAGCGCCGCGCGTCAATCTCGCTATCGGGACAGGTGGCGGCGGCGGCGGGAGCATATCGAACTCCTCGACAATAGTCTTAGGGTGAAGAGCACTGATGTTGTTATCGACGGTATAAGTCCTGGCGTGGGTTCTGGCCATGCGAGGTGGCTCGTCGTTGACCAACCAGTCGCCATTTTCCTTCATTCGTCTCTGCCGCTCTAGTTGCTTATCACGCAGGTGTTGAAGACGAGCCAGGTGGCTCTTGACCTGCTGCGGCGTGAGACCAGTCTTACCTGACTTGAGGAGGTTGGCGTTGTAGTTGTAAGAGGCTTCCGGGTCGCGCCGGTTCCATTGGTACCTGGAAGTTTTAATTGTGATTACAAAAGTTATCCTGGACAAATGATCCGATCCAAAACTTTTTCATCTTGTGTACCACTTTCATGCTTTTATTTTAGTATCTTCTAGTGATCTATGGCAATGTAATAAATACAAAATTTTTATTGTAATATTCTCACATTCAAAACCTGGGTGTCGTGACAACTTTGGATATCATCTGTATAATTGTATTGCTTTTAAACGATCTATGTAAAATAAAGTATCAACTAGCAACGGTATCTAATGTAATATATTCAGTTTCTTCATGTTTGTCAGAACGTCGTGACGTTGGATTAAGCGATTATTGCTGTGCTTTTGTTATGCTAATTATATGGCTTCTAACATTCCCTAAATGTTCTTAGATCGTGGTTCTTAGGCGTTCACTTTATGTTCATGTCTGAAAGCAGCTCGTAACAAACGATCTAAAAATTTATGGACAATTATTTCGATGTTATTGGGCTATAAAAGTTAGCTAATGTGTTTTGTTCGCAAGTAGATTTGTACAGAGATCGGTTCGGTTAATAACGATAATGGCCAAAGTTTTGGACTAATGTCATCAAGGAATTTAATATAATCTACGATTAATTTGGTACTTTGGAATAGAGTTGCTTTTAAGTGGACCTTAATAGTTGTAACTTCTAATAACTTCTACGAATCCCTAAAGGTCTTCCATACATGAATATGATAACGATCAAACATCATAGGTGTCTAAAGTTTATAAATTCCATTAGTAAGTAAAGCCACGAAATTATAGCCACGATAGCCGAACGGTGAAGGGGTCGGAGTGACCGACTCGAGATCCGAGGAACGCGGGTTCGAAACCCACCGCCGCTCGACTATTGTGGTGAGCCTACTCGTAACACAAGCTTATTTAGCTTAACACGAGGGGCTACCGAGACTATTAGTAATTTGGCCAATACAAATTGCTAATAATCTTTTATAAAAAAAAACAAAAGCTTTTAAAAAAGCACGGTTTATAAGTATTGAGATTACTCTTAGAAACGAATTTCATGATTCCATTGATATTTCAAGACTGATTGAGCACCGGAGGAAAATATGTGTGCATACCAAATGGACTTACCCAGGGAACGGTTTCGTGAGCCGACGGTGCGTCGGGCGCGAGCGCTTCCTCAGCTCATTCGGCCTGAGGTGGTGAGGCTTCGGGGGTCGGATCGTGTTCGGGTTCAGGCGCAGCTGGCTCGGCCGCAGGTCGTAGGACTTCGGGCTCAGCATCGGGTTGATGGTGACGTCATTGGTCTTGGGGTCGCTGACCTCGCGGCTGACGCTGGGCGCCGTGATCTCGTTGAGCTTGCCCATGCGCTGCCAGCGCCGGCGCAGGTCCTTCACTTTGGACTTGGGGACCTTGCGTAGCTTCGTCTGGCAGATGTACTGGCGCGGCTGGTAGCAGCTGGCTGGTGCCCACCTGGAAAATGCAAAGTATAAAGTCAGAAAATACTATGTACTACATTGTTAACTTTTTGGCAAAAATCTTATTTCTTGTAGCCCTATAAACCTTATCTTTGACTGATATTCGTAAAGATAAGCTAATTCAACCATGGCTCGTAGATATGGGTATACCTACAGTAGATGGTAATCTAAGAATACTACACACTCGAGGTTATCTTGGCATTATTTGAAGATAACATAGGTACTTACTAGTTCAATTAACTTTATATCACTCGCTAAATGTACGAGTGCTTCTAAGATAGAGTTTGAAATGAGTCTATCAATAGATTGGGTATGTTTTCCTGATACATATTTGGGTGTCATAAATAGGTTAACATTTATGTGTCCCCTTGCTCGATGCATCAGTAGGGTCCAGCAACGGCCATAATCCGCCGTCGGTCACGGCCACGTGTCTAACGAACCATTGTTCGCCCACCGCACAATTCGGTTTGCGAATCGTAAACTTTTATATTGGTTTTCGTGGTATCGATCGCTGTTTAGCAATAATCGTTCCGTCCAATAACTGGGGAGTCGTTAAAAGGTTGAGTGCAAGTGAAACAAATGCGCGTTTGGGATGTTTTGCTGGACACATTTTATGACAAGTCTTGACCTTGAATCAATAGAACTACATTTTTATTGCTATGTCTGACTTTGGTAACTTCTCTGGTAATTAGAATTGAACAGTGGAATTTGACTTAAATCGGTTTGCATTATTTCTGAGCCAGATAGAGTAAACTTATAAATATTTAATTAAACAAAATAAATTAATTAACTAAGCATAACATTCCAAATACGTCGTTAGTTAGATAATAAAGTTAATTCAGGATTTCCACTTGTACCACAAGCTGTGGACTAAACTAAACACACTGCAATAATTAAATTTTGTGTTCAATAATGCCAAGTTTGGGGTCTCAACGAATGCCGTTTCATTTTATGTTACAGCTTCCCTCCGAATCTCCCCAATTTCCAATTTGTCACGAACTAATAAAATTGAAATGTTATGATTTATTTCCTTTTGTGTTATTTGGCTTGACTCTTGATTTAGATAGAAATTTCTGTGAAGTAGAACGTCCGGTATTATCTTTGTTATCTTGATAGGCCTTCTACTAAACACTTCTGTAGGTACAACATGTAATCTAAGTGATATTTCGTGGTAAACTGTTTGAGTGTACTTGAACTCTTTAAACATTGGAAGTCATCTCCAATACCTTGCTAGAAAATCTGGTAGGTACGAGGGCGGCACTGAAAATTTCGGGAATCAAGGAAGTGAAACAACATTACTATTTTAAAATGTATTTATTGCTTTTTAAAGTATTCTCCGCGAAATTTGACACATTTTTCCATACACGAAACCAATCATTGAAGCAACCATTGCATTCGGAAGTTTGGGTCTCCAAAATGGCCGTTTTGTAGGCTTCCACAGCTTCTTCAGGTGATGAAAATCTCTGACCACGCAATTTATTCTTTATTTTAGGGAAAGTATAGAAATCATTAGGGCTTAGGTCTGTTGTATACAGCATTTGAGGATCCTGCATGTAATCTGCCGAGAGTTCTGACGCACCAAGTAACGCGAGCCGCTTTTTGCTCTTCACAGAGCGAATGCGGTATCCATCGGGAAAACAACTTTTTTACACTTAATTGTTCATGCAAGATTATTTGTATTTGACTCATGCCAATGTCTAAAGTTGCCTGAATTTCGCGGTATATCACATGTCGATCTTCTTCAATCAGCTTACGCACAGCATCAACGTTTTCTTAGGTGACTGCAGTTTTTGGACGACCTTGACGGGGATCATCACTGAGCTTGACACGTCCACATTGAAATTCAGGAAACCAGCGATAAATTGTGGTTTTGGATGGGGCTTCATTACCAAATGCAGAAATCATCCGGTCAACTCACTGTTTTTGTGTTAAACCACTTCAAAAGTCATAATAAATCATCGCTCTTGAATTTTCTCGAGTCAATTCCATTTTCTCAACGACTAAACAAGTTTGACAAGACCTTGTGATACGACCGAGATTCTTTTTTTAAATAAATAAATGGTATCTGATTTTTAAAACCCTGGAGTTTGCAATTAAATAGATTTTAATATGACTGGAACAGTGGAAATATTCCATTCCCGATACTTTTAGTGCAGCCCTCGTACTGCATTGCTTCCACATGTATTAAGCGGTTTAAGTGCACTGACTAGCTTTAACCCTTTCACCAGTTTAGAGAAAAATATTTTTCAATGGTTTTGAACCTTACGATTGAATCACTAAAAGTTCAAAATGATGATCCAACTGACCTACCACTCCGTCTCCTAGTTGTCTTGGAGGCGCTGGTGTGCCCGGAGATGGCTTACGTAGCCGATCTTCGGGGCAAACCCTCTTGCACATTGACGGTATCTGAGCACGCCGCCAACATAATTATAGTGAATGGCGACAGATGGACGGGCCTTCAAGTTTAAAAAAGTTCATAATATGGTGGCTACAATTCAACTGCTACGAGGAAAAGATGATAATTTGTTGCACTTGCCTGTACTTGAGCTCGGGCATCATGGCGATGCAGTGCCACTGCAGCTGCTCGGGCGACATCTTCTTCATCTTGCTGAAGGACTGGTAGTGCATGCGGCGCAGTTCGCCGCCCCACTTCCACGCGCGCGCGTTGTAGTCGTAGATGCCGCCGATCCAGCGGCTGGCTTTCTCTGGAATTGATGAAAAATAAATAGAGAGATAGATAGAACAAACTTTATTGTATACCACACAAGACAAGAAAAGAAATAAGTATACAAAAGATACGGCACAATTTAAGCGGTCTTATCGCAATAAGGCGATAGACAACCTAGAGGACAGTGGTTTAGAATAGGTAAAAGGGAAGGAAAGATGTCCAGTATGAATTTATAGTCTCAGTTTACTTAACATAAACCAATAAATTTAATAACATGCATGCATTATGTCATTTGTATACTCGCACTGGATATTTTTACTGGGTTTGCCTTATCTACATCAAGCGTGTTCTAGTATGCTGACTAGAAATGTGGAATAGAGTTGGATTTAAGTCATTTCACTGACCTACGGTGGGTTTATTGAGGTAGTTCCTCAAGTTCCGGTCCTCCCATCGCGCTGGTACTGAAAGGTTGCTGTCGCGGTCCTGCAACAATTAAATTATACAATTCACTTTCACATAAAAATAGTATCATTGAGACTAAATGAAACGCACAGGAAATAAAATTGTATTTATTTTCTTTACTCGCGGAAATTCTGACGAATTCTTCAATAAATCAGTCGCGAAAGCATGACTAAGATGAAATCAAACGGATTTTCACCGAGTAATTGGTGGCGATTCATCACGATGACATTATGAGCGACGGCGGCTCTGGCTACTTTAGAGCTGCCATAATTTAGTCCGCGACAAACATTGTGAAGTGAAGACCTTGAGCTGCTAAACTGTTACATGGGATGATCGATGTGACAGGGCTTTGACCTATATTTGTACAATCACAATATTGTTTCTAAGCATAATATGAATGGTAGAGTATTATTAGTCTCGTTTTGAATTACGCTTCGTTTGATCTTAAACATTTTGAAAACGAATATTACTTAATTATTATTGTCTACTATTAAAGAAAGTAACACATGTGTAGTAATGTTTATTAAGAAATTATGTTACATGAATTTGAATATGCTCATATTCACACATTTGATGAATCGATGATGCTGATTTAATGTACGCGGTGAAGTCATCATAACACTGTTCAATTGCCAATTGTCCCACTTCTGGGCATGTGTTTATTTGCCATTTCTAAAGAACCGCTTCTTTGTCAACTTAGCGACACTCAATAGTAATTCTTAGAACTGCTAAAGAATTCATTGCAGCAATGTCAACCTCGCTCTACATATTTAATGGAAGATTGTATATTTTCTAAAATTTGTATGGGTACTTGAACTTTTTCAATGTAGGTTCAATATAATAATAAATCGGATATAAAGTTTATCATCAACTTTTACGAGTATTACCTACTTACTACATTTTAAGTAAATACTCGTAAACGCGTGTACAATCTTGGAGAACTGCATTTTAAAGATACCTACATTATTATTACTATGTATTAATATTTATTCAAATATTAGGTAATGGATTGGCATGTTGAATGCCAAGGTGTGAAATGGCATAATTTATGCAAATGACGACTGTTGGTATCAGTAAATAATTTGTTTGAATAATGAATAATTAACCTTTTCGCTCATCATTTCGTTTACTCACCGACCCAACGTTAGTGTTAGTACAATGTTTGGATTACGCACTACTTCAGTTTACTGTTTGCTGTGTGACTTAGAACTGGAGAATCTGTGCCAGTCTCCTATTGTTGACTTGTCGCGACGTTACTCAGTCAATGTGCATAGTTAAAATTATGAATTAGAATAACACAATATAACTAGTTAAGCCTGAAAATTAATAAACATTTATCAAACGATCTAAAAGAAGCATAACATTGAAAGTAATATGTGTTCAAAGTAAACATTTTAAATACTAGACATTTCAATTGGTAGATCATTCCTTGAACAGCGTAATAACATCTGTGAATTCATTCCGTCGAGTTGGAAAATTCAAAGAAACCGTATAGGATCCATCAATCTCGGTTCTATTAGTGGGCATTTTACAATCAATATAATATTTTATCCGGGCAGAAACGGGCCGTGTCATAAGAGGGCATTTCTACGGGGACGACCGATCGACCTACTGGGGCGAAAAAAGTACCTTTAAAATTGAAGTACGGACTTGAAAAAAATCACACGTATTTATAGGACTCTTGACTTGATGGAGAGCATATTTAGAAGACCGCCAGGTTTTACATCTCGCCTTGAAAAAATCCGAAAGTTCAAAAACGGGCGAAATTTGGCCTAAAATGGAGTGTCCGGTTTCCAGAATTTACTCGTTTTTGCTTCATAACTTTTGAAATAAAAACTTCCCCATTATGAAACCGCGATTAGGGTATGCAAAACCGAAAGTTTATCAAAAACCGATTTTTTTTTCGGTTTTCAAGAAAAAAAACCGGTTTTCGGTTTTTAATCGGTTATTATCGTTCTATTTTTTTTTTCAATCAACTAGTAGTTACATACAGCGATTTGTTACGTCCTGTCCGTTTTGTGTTAGATTACATTATTTAAGAGAGGGTTATAACAGTTTTGATAAATTTAGCTTATTCATTAGGCATTATAGGCACATAATGCATAATGTATAAGCTAAATTTAACTCAAGGGATGGTAGTTTATCTCCATTGTACGTAATAATTGTCAACGAATACGTTTTAAAATTCATTACTCTGTCGGTTTAGTATTTTGTTAATTACCACCATGTACGTAATGTAAAAGACCTACATCAAAAACGTACTTGCTTACAATTACTATTGATATAAGCAATATCTTAATTTAAAAAGCATAATAAAATGTAAAAAGCTTTAATTTTGTGAACGTTAGGTGATTACGATTGATATTTAAAGCTATATCTTAAAAATAAAAAGCTTGTAATTAAAAAGTAGAATAAAATGTAAAAAGCTTTAATAAAAACGTTAGGTGATTACGATTGATATTTTAAGCAATCTTAAATTAAAAAGTAGAATAAAATGTAAAAAGCTTTATTTGTGAACGTTAGGTGGTATTTTTGTCAAATTTCAATACACTAAGTATTACAGTAATATGCTTCTGCAGATATCGCAAATAAATGAGATTCAATGTTCAAAACAATTCAGAAATAAAAACTGTTCAATTCACTCACACATAGGTTAATTATTCACTGCAATAATCACCAACCACCGGGGATTCCCCGTTTAAAAATAAACGACGGAGTAACCAAGTGACAATGTTGCCAAGTTATAAATTGTAAAATAACCAAATATTCGTCAAATATCAAAATACCCAGGTTATATTATAATAAAATGATATTGCTTATTTATGGAATTTGTTACATGTATACAGATAGAAAAACCGATTTAAATCCGGGTTTCGATTTTTAAAACCGGTTTTAGAATTTGTCGAAAAAGGGCGGTTTTTCCGATTTTTCGGTTTCCGATTAACCGGTTTTGCATTCCCTAAAATTTCTTAAGAAAGCTTAAGAATAACGAATAAAATAAAAATAAATGTTGAGCTCCATACAAAAAAAAAGTAATTATTGTCAATAACTTATTAAATAATAACTTTATCAAAAAAAGTTACATAACATAAAATATTTCTTTTTGGCAAAGGAACACATTGGCGTAGTTATATTTACAAAATTTGGCAGTTATTTAATTTTTTTATTTTTTTTATTTTAAAGTCCAAAATGACAATGTTCCGAAGATTTCCGAAATGCGACACTTGGTGATAACATAGCTTATATGTTGCATTACATAATACAAAAGTTAATTTCTTAAGAAAGCTTGAGAATAACGAATAAAATAAAAATAAATGTTGAGCTCCATACAAAAAAAAAGGAAATTGTCAATAACTTATTAAATAATAACTTTATCAAGAAAGGTTACATAACATAAAATATTCCTTTTTGGTAAAGGAACACATTGGCATATTTATTTTTTCAAAATTCGGCACTTGATTTTTGAGCGACGCTAAGTCTATGAAGCTCTAATATCAGCCCACCGTGCGGCGGGGAGCCGGCATCTAGACAGTTGCTGCTATTATTACCGAATTAGTTCTTCAACAGCTTAATTAGTAATCTGTTTAAAATCTTTTTTGAGTTGTGAACATATTAAAATACTTAAATGTTGAAGATGGTCTCTTAATATTAAAACTCCCTGGAAAGTTTAAAATTAAATTTTGACTAAAGGTTTTCTTTGAATTTCTTGTTTTCTGGAATTTAGAATGATGCTAAACAGTCTTCATGATTTTATTAAACCCTGCATAATTGGCTGTCCACAAGTAAGATTAAATCCATAAACTCGTTATTTTGCATGTATAAACGGATACATAAATGGCAAAGGTGTAACTTTTCAATTAGCACGTTTAATTCTAGGTTAACTCCAGCCGCCCGCGACGATTTGCCTCGACTCTAAACCACTCAGACACTAGTAATTATATTCCTTGAGGCTATGCAATTAATTAAGAGTTCAGTATGCATGAAATTAAATGTTTACTATGCTAGATACACTCCTACAAGCAGAAGTGACAGGGACAGTTGTGAAATGTTTAATTTATTTACAAATAAAGTAAAAGGGATTCATACTTCACTGTCAGACCGATTTTAGCTTTAGTGCGATCAATCTTCTTGAGATAGGTACAGAAGCCAAAGGCTTTATACCTATACTTGCCTACTAATTCGTTCATTTCAAAAGTTTACATTTACAAGTCTCATTTTAATCAAAACGTTTGTGTCTGGCTGATGTCTAATCTCACTTCCTAATCATGATAAGTCTCGGTATTTCTGCACAGCCTCGTCTGTTCCGGTTTAACCGGCCGGAGAGAGTTATGCACCCATCGTAGAGTCTAACAGCAAAAGTATTCTCACCCTTATTTATATGGCAATAAAGAAAAACAATTAGGATTCTTGGTGCTGCCTATCCGAAGAGTACAAGCCTAGATGATTGGAACCACCTGTGCGCTTGCTGGTTAGAAATGGGTTGTTCAATACACGCTTTGCAGGAATGCAACACAGAAAGTATGTTGATGAATGAAACCGTTTCAATGGGAGGTTGTTACAGAATACTGGGTATCAGCAATTTTATTAGTCTTTGATTAAGATTTGATGATTTGAAAACTGATTTCTAAAGTTTTTAGACAGATGACGAAATGTATGGAGAGATTTAAAAGCTCTACCGTTGTGGTACATTTTGGTAAGCAGATCATTTAACGCACCATTGTTCGTAAATAAATATTTTTATGAAGTCGAAAATATTTTTCGCGTAATTTATAACGGTACATACAACAATATTATTTCAATTTTATTACTAGTTTATTTTACGGTGGTGATAAAAGAGTAATAAATTGATGTTGATAGTGAGATCCACAAGTGGGCGATAAAATGCTTTTTTGCACATAAACTGAAATCCTATGTTTTGCAATATTTTATTTTTCAGTATATTCGTAGTCAAGAGTGTGAAAAAAATATATTCTATCTCTACCCAAGTAAAACCTCAAAGAGTTTAAAGATGCTGCAGTATT